CTCTCAGCCCTTGAAGTATTAGTTTACCACCTAACTGAAAAAATGAGACCTTGTAGAGTAGAAAAGGTTTTGTAGGACAGCTCAGAACAACTCTGGATGATCAGGAAAGGAAGAAATTCTTGTGGACAGTGGTAACACAAGTGGTAAAACTTGACTCATTCTTAACTGAAAGGGAGAATTTGGAAGGATAGATGGGAGGAGAAAGAGCATGAATTCAGCCCCAAGCTAATGACAAGGAGAGCCAAAGAGGCCATCTTGACTAGAGCAACAAGTTTCTGCTGGGATGTGGGACAGGTTAAGTTTTCAAGGATGAGAGGAAGATACTGTTCTAAAGAGAAAGAATGTACCTATGATTTCCAGCATCCAGTCCTGTGTTGAGACCTAAAATGGGTCTAAGAATGCTTGTTTATCAGAGGTACATGGGTGGCTTGGTCTGACTCTAGATATCAGGGTTATGAGTTCAAGCCCTGCATTGGGCTCTACGCTGGACATGAAGCTTACTTAAAAAAAAATTTTTTTTTTTAAATGCTTGCTTGTCATGGTGGGAGGCCTGAGATGGTACAGCATCGTGGCCTGTGTCGCCAATGGCTGTTTCTGTGTCCAGACCTTTAAAATTTCCTCTCAAAAAGGAGTTCCAAGATGATAACATAGGTGACTACCACCTGAATCATTTTTAAAAAATACCAATTTTTTAAATGCATTTGATGTTGAAGCTTATTTATTTTACTTAACCATAAGAATGGGTCTCCTTCCTTTGATTCTTATAAGAATTGTCTGAGGTCAGTATTATCCTCCATTTGCAGAAAGAACTTAGAGGCTCAGAGTTGAAAAGCTTACCCACGACCTCCACATGACTCTGTCTCTCTTGATTGAAATCAGAACCCTTCCTCTCCATAGCAGCTAGACATGGTTGGTCATGGAGGTCACTTTGAGAGATGGGCCTGCACAAGACCGTAGTGTTCACAGCTGAACCAAGGATTCAGAGGAAGGTATCATGATACCACCCCACTCTCAGAATTGCTAGAAGCTTTCTTTTAGACCCCCAGAGCCGCCTCCTTTTCAAATAAGAGTACTTTCTCACTGACCATTACAAATGCAGAGGAGATAACTTCACTTCAAGGAGCTTGTCCTTGATAGGACTGGCCCATGGACACTGTCCATATCCTACTCACAAGGTTGATCAGGGCCATACTTCTGTAACTATAGCAATTATTTTTACTCTCTCAGCTGCTCCTTCATTGCTAGAATGCTTGAGAAGACCTTCTGTCACAAAGAAGCTTACAAGGCCACCAGAAAAGCAAATTCCTTTATTTTCTGGCTAACACTATGACCAAAGAAATAAAGCAGTTAAGTTTTAGCTCATTAAACCAAAAGGGAAGTGGGGTAGGGGTATGGGAGAAAAGCAGCTAGTATTAATATACCTAATGTGACCACAGGACCATTTTCTATGTAGGCTTTAATTATGCCCCATTTCATGTCCCCTCATTCTCTGATTCCTTAAATTCCAAAACAACCCCAGAGAAATCTTTCTGGTTTTGCTTGGAAAGCAGCACTATGTTTCTGTGCCTGTGCATTCTAAAACAGGCCTGTCAAATCTGAAAACTAAATACAAGCTGACAGAAATCAGCTACTAACAAATTAAGTTAAATTAATAGAGTAGACGCCTGAAATACAAAGAAAACGTTTTTTCCCCAAGAATCTCTCTCCCTAGATGCCAGGCTAGATAAAGAGACTAAAGCCGACCTCATTCTCCACAGCAAGCCCTTTCCTTTGCCTTGTCATGTTTCCTAGAGAGCCCTGCATGGGAACCCTCTGCATAACTACTGCTCCCCCTGGTGGCAGCCTCCAAACCCCCAACTGTCAATGTGAAGGATATATCAAAGACATGATAAATGGAAAAAAAGAATGCTAGACTGAGAATCTCCACTTCAAATTCTGACTCTGCTACCAAATAACTCTGTAGCCCCCCCTTTGCTAAAAGGTTCAGTTTTATGAGTATAAATAATTTGTAAGTATATGCAATAAGTGACAATTTCAGATTTTTGTCCCATGTAGGTTTTGTTATCTTCTTTATCTCTATGTGTACATTTTATGGAATAAAAGAACATGCAAATGGTGAATATCAAGGCTTAGGTTCATTCCTTTCCATTCCCACTATTGCCATCCCTTATGGCTTTTAGCCTGGTGTGAAAGCTCTCCTCCTCCTCTTTATCACCTTTGTGGAAATCTTTTCCAAGCTTTAGACCGGCTCAGAAAGCATTATGGCTCACTCAGTAGCACCTGTGCAAAAGCTAACCCCCACCTTAAAAAGTAGGTGGTTCAGACCCACTGTGGTTTACACTTCCTGCATAAGATCAGGCAGATACAGTAGTTCTATGGGGGAAAAAATGATCTGAATATGGAGATCTAATAAATCGGGGGCTGGAGAGAATTGGCCAATAGCATCTCTTCCTTTCTTACAATATTACCACTCCTGTCCTTCCTTGCATTGAATTCTTCATTCAGAATGTCCAAGGTTACCTATAAAAGCATCATTGGAAATACCAAAAAATAGTCTGGAAAGTCCTTATATACCTTGTTTTTACAATTTCCTCTGAGTAGGAAAACCTACTTCAACTGGGTTTTAGATATTGATAAGCTGAAATGTAGGAAGGTAAAGATATTTGCCAGTGGTGACTACTTAAGCAGTACCAGGACCAAAATAAAGTTCAGAAGACCTGTCTTCTAGCCTCCTGCTCTGAATGTTCAAGATACCTTTCTGTAGGGAAGAGAGAGAGGGTGCTGGTTTTAAGGAGGCAACTATACCAATGGACTTGGGAATGTAGCAAATTCTAATCCCTACCTTTTGATTGTAGTAAAACTGAATAATGATTGACTAAACTCAGTCATCATGAAATTTGATTAAGCCTGCTTTTATTATTGCTGTTTGGAAATCATTATGGAGGCATACATGTTCCTGGACATCATAAGATTTATATCATAAAGTCAGTCTTTGATTTTCCTTAAAACAGTCTGAATACCTGAAGGGATTTAACAATGATAATATGTGGTGTCTATTAAGATTCCTTTTAGTGACATTATTACATATTATGTGGTTTACCAGAGATCAGAAATTTGGATAGTCATCTTTCTCTTATTAGCTTCTTTGAAAGAAACTAACATGTAATTGTTTGACTTAGAGAAAAAGCACTTCACATTTGATGGATGTGTGAATGAATGAGTGGATGAGTTTTACCACAGTTTACCATGGTGTCTCTCCCATCCCTCTTGAAGCTTCAGCTCCAGTTCAATGCCACAAAAGCTTGACTGTCCTCAGCGGTAAAGGTGATGGTCTGGAATGGCACTGAATCAAACACAGACCATCCAGAAACTTCCCTTTAGCTGAGGTTTTCTATTTCCTTCCCCATTTTTATCAGAACTGCATAACTAGATTGAAGATTGAAACATGTAAGCCTTGCTTTCCCCCCTTCCTGCCTTTCTCCTGACAGGAAGTAAGAATAAGCAGTACAATAGGCCCAAGGCCAAAGACAGACTTGAGGGAGCCTGATTCATTGCCAGACAGGTCGCCCACCTCAGAATAACTAAGAGCTGACAAGAGGCAGTGCCAAACTGCCAGTCCCATAGAGTCTGGAGAGGACCCAACAGGAGAAATAGTGAAGAAAGAAAAGAATTGTATAGTTGTATATATAGGGAGAACGTGTTGTTGGGGCAGGAGGTCCGACTCCTAGTGTTAATTTCACCCACCAAGTGTTGTGAGTTCTTCTGACATTTTCATGTGCTTTTTCCCCCTTTCCTGAAAAATGACCCCTGTTTCCAACTTACCTCCTACAGATGGATGTTAATGTGATATTAGGTAAACAGATCTTTGGGCCTTTTGAAACTAGGGAGGTGGAAATTATCACAAAGATGGAAATGACTGACTATAGGAGGCTACAAGCCACCTCTAAGGCATTTCTGTGCGTTGAATGGTTTACAAACCTAAGGCCCTGGCAGGTCCAGGCCCTGGATCTCTGAGCCTCCTACCCTGTTCTCCTCCCTTCCGTCTGGATCCCCACCTCCATCAACAGATTCCAGTTATCATCAGCCTCACCAAGTCACCAAGATATCAGTTTCAAGTCATCATTAGTCACTAACTGCCATGATGTAGCAGCTAGTTCTTAGAAATGACATAATCCAGAAAAGAAAAAATAGTAGACTGAGACTGGAGTGGGTTTTGAAGCTCATGTTAGACACTCACAATGTGATTCTTATAATTCTTTTCAGGGGAAGCAAAGTGTCTGAACTAGATGGGGATTATTCTGGAATTCTCTACCATTGCCCTAAAGGGCAGGCTTTGCCTTCATTCTGTTGTGCACCTCCCCTACAGAGGGTCTTTCATTAAGTATTATGGGAAATAATTAGATCTGAGTTTTACACCCCCTAATGTTCACAGGCTCTGAAGGTAATAGATGAATGTATGACTACCTAGAATTGAGAGGTATTTAGGCATACAATTTCCTTCAAACATATGCATCAAGATTCTCTCATCAATATTTTTGACTTTTCGCTTCCTCTCACCTCTGAGTCTTTACTCCAGATGCCTTTCTCCATATCTGGAAGCCCTGCCTACTGTTCACCATCCAATAAAGCTCCAGTCCTCCTTTATGATTTTTCCTTTTCCATAATAAGCCTTTTCCAAATCCATCTGCACCATTCATTCCAACATCCCCTCTTATCCCTGTTGTGGGTGTTCTATGTATTCAGCACACATCTGCTATCTACTCCAACTGGTATTTTTAGATCAAGTAATCAACAAGCTGATTAAGCAATCAAAAGGCTCATTTGGGGTTGCTATCAGAATCACACCAAACATAGTGGCAAGAGAGCCTGGTTTCCTGAGTGTCACTGTGGCTGGTTTGTCTCTGTCTTAAAACACTGTTCTTTCCTGCCTTACCAGTATTAAATGCCAAAAAGGAGTCAACTGACGTGACCAGGTCTACATTTCTTTTCTGTTGCTCCAGGATTCTTCTACAGCCAGATGATTCCTTACAGATCCTGGCACCAGTGGAAGCTGATGTGGGTTTCTACACTTGCAATGCCACAAATGCCTTGGGATATGACTCTGTCTCCATTGCCGTCACATTAGCAGGTAACATGAAAATCCTGTGTAGTTTGACTCGCTGCTGTGCCGTTATTGAGTAGATACCTACAGTGTGCCAAGCCGGCCCAGGAACACATCCATAAATGAGATTTAGACACTGCCTTCAGAAAGGTTATAAGCTATAGTTATAATTAAATGGAGATGAAGTATAATATGAGGTATAATGAATGAATGAATGAGTGAATGAAATAAGTGCTGTAAATGATAACCTAAGGGTGTGCAAGGACATTTCATCCCATCTGGGAGATGTCAGAGTCAGAATGAATGGACTTTGATAAGTATAGGTGGGTGACATATTCCAGAAAGAAAGAACAACATAAGCAAAGGAGTTGTGTACTAGTAAATAACATGTTAGGGAACATGAGCCATGACCTGTCATTTCTCCTTGTTACACCTGTTGCAAAGAACACTTCAAGACTCATGGGTAGTTGGAATTCTGTGGTCATGGTTTAAAGCAGGAGTGTTCTTCTCTCTGATTCTGTTTTATTTAAACCTCTTGCTGTACTGCACCTGCCAACACTTTCCCCTTATCCATAAAGGTCAGGCAAAACATTCTACACATGTGATGTAAGAACATTGCAATGCAGAACATGATGTCTCCCAAGGTTGTAGTCTTGTCATCATGTACTTTATAAAACCTCATTTACATAGGACACAAATCCTTGCCTGTGAAACTGAAAAAGACCTTAGATACCAACTGTACCAGTGCCCTCATTTCTTAGAGGCCAGGTAAGCTGAGGTCATGCAACCACTCAGCTGGTTGTAGAGATAAGAAGGGAATGAGGCCTCCTAACTCCCAGCTCATTGTTCCCTATCCACCTATCCTACCAAAGGAGGATCTTTTTTCTCAGATCTGGGCCAGGCAGTCTTTTTTGGCAGTATGTTGCATGTGTTTGTATTTATTCTTTTCAGTTGCTGCTCCCGTCAGATGATTCAGTAGATGCTAGAAAAGCCAACATCACCCCACACTGACCTCATCGGTCCATGCTGGGATTATGTTGTCACACTGTTCTCCAGTCACACATGCTACTCCCTTGCATATCTGTTTAGCAACAGCATTTCTGCCCCCATGACCTAAGGCTGATCAGAAAAGGGACCTTTAGCAGGAGGCTTTCCAGGGAAGATGAAAGTCAGCAGTGAATAAGGCAAGCTGAGGGGCCCAGGGGTAGATTAAAGACTGATAATTTTAATGCCTATTTTGTGTGTGTGAATAGAACACTTGCTTTTCTCCTAATGTATTCCAGCTACAATCTTTATTCCCCTCTTTATACAGAGTCCAGATGCACAGCACCAATCTCCTAAAATCTCTTCTGCCTTCCACACTCCAGCCTGCCGTAGCAAGGGCACTGCTGACATGCTTCCAATTGTTGGCAAAGAGTGGCTGTTACGGAACTAACTCTCTTGTTTATATTTATCCTGATACGGTTCAGTTCCGTCACAGACTAAATACCCTTTGTTCACCTGAATTTAATACGATTAATGGAAACCTGTCTGGAATTAAGTAAGGCAATTGTAACATCAGACTTGTCTTCAACTCTTTGGAGAAGAGCTATTGGAGGCTGCCAAAGTGTTCAAAGCCAGAAAAGAGAGAACAGCAAAAGAGGCACTAGGGAATGGAAGAAAAGGGTTTGGCCTATGAATTTGATCACAAACACCACACCTAGGACTGTGCCCTTGTACTTCAGTGGTGGGGTTTGTTCAGGTGTGCTCACGAATCCAATAGTCCCGCTAAAAATTAAGGCTCAAAATGTGCATATGTTGCCTTAAGATTGTATTTGTGTCTTTACCTGGAATTATCTGCTACACCTGTGCCAATGTCAACACCTAGTATTAAGTGGTACACCAGCTGCCGTTCTAAGCACACCCTCTGCCAAGTACTGGGGAACAATGAGCAATAAATAAGGCCTGAGTTTTGTGCTCCATAATGCTTACAGACTAGTAAAGGCAATAGATGTATACAGGACTACCTAGAATCGAGAGATAATTATAATTTCCTTCAAATGTATGCAAGATCCTATGTAGCAGCATATAAAATACCACCCAAATATACACTAAATTTAAGGGGGAAATGGATGTCAAGCATTTCTAAATTTGATTACCAATTATACTGCTTATCTTGAACAAAGTATGCAACCTCACTGAGTTTTCATTCTCATCTGTAAAAATGAAATTAATAATGTTTTATGGGATTTTGTGAATTAAATAAGATTGTGCATGTGAAAAAGCGCCTAGCCCAATGCCAGGCACATAGTTCACACTTGATAAATGTTTCCTTTCTCTAGCTCTTCTAAAATGAAATACCTCCTGAAAGCAATTCTAAAATGTGTAAAACATTAGTTCAAGTTTGCTTCTACGTATTTTTCATTATAAGTCTTCATATTGAAACTCTGTGTACAGACTTAGGAACTGATTCAGCTCACTTGCAATTAAATCTTCATGGTAAGGGGCACCTGGGTGGCTCGGTCACATAAGCCTCCGACTTCAGCTTAGGTCATGATCTCACAGTTTGTGGGTGCAAGCCCTGCATTGGGCTCTGTGCTGACAGCTCAGAGCCTGGAGCCTGCTTCAGATTGTGTGTCTCCATTGCTTTCTTTTCCCCTCCTCCACTCGAACTCTGTCTCTTTCTCTCTCTCTCTCTTTAAAATAAATATTTAAAAATTTTTGTTTAAATCTTCATGGTAAAATCTCAGTGCTTATGCACATCTAAAAACATGGCAGGTTTTGTGTGTGTGTGTGTGTGTGTGTGTGTGTGTGTGTGTGTGTGTGTGTGTGTTTTCCTTGACCTCAGTATGAATGTTAGACCAAAAGGGAAAAACATCTTTTTGAGACTCAAGATACTCAGGTGTGTCCACGATTTTGAACCTTGGTCTGGCCAGTGTGCCTGAGTTGACCAGAAATGGGGAAATTTGTTCATAATAATTCACAAGAGCAAACAGAGCCTGACAGTTAAGCTTGAGGGCTCTGTAGCCTCATGGTCTGGATTGGAATCCTGGCTCTGTCGCTTCCTGGCTATATACCCTTGAGCAGCTTCTTTACTCTTCTCTGACTTGGCCTCTTCGTTTGTAAATGGTTATTAAACTAGCACACGATTCAGTGGGGTTTTGCGAAGATTAAATACATTCATTCATATAAAATGCTGATAATTGTGCCTGGAATATAGCAAGCGCTCAATATTTGTTAGCTATTATTATTGTGAGGATAACACATAAAACAAAAGCCAAGTTGTTTTTACAGTAGGGAAGACTCCTCAGAGACTGGAATGCTCACAAACCTTTTGTAGAGCACCTTGCTCTCAATGTCTCAATGCCAGCTGGGGAAGTTGAATTAGCCATCTGGAAAGGGCCGGCCTTCCTGGATTCAGAGGAAGGGAGACAGCTTGTGGTAAGGAATATTTCACATGGGCCACAGGAAAGGGGGCCTGATGAGCTCTCCTTGGCTCACAACCAGACCTCTTCCATTGAGTTGCCCCGTCCTCTATAGGGAGTATGCCCCATTTCTGCTTCTCAGATTCATTTTTGGTCCATTGCTACTCTCTACACAATTTTTCTTTAAACACAATTCAGCTTCAGACATGCTATTACAGCCAAATCTTCCTCCTTATGCCTTATTCGGTCCTATAAAATATTTTCTTCAGTATCCTTTTGCTTTTCTTCAAACCCATCCATTATGTGCTGACTTATCTTTGAGTCTCAGAGATTTGAGACTACTTTGCTTCTCAGTATGGAGATAGCCTCCTGTCAACCTCCCTGGTTCAGAATGGAAGCCCACAGCCATGTAAACACAGGGGCACAAAATTCCTTTGTGTCCTAAAGTGACTTAATTGGATACGTGTTTCACTGCTCAGAATGTAGATGACAGTAGCATACGGTGGATGGAAGGGTAATAGGAGGGAGGGAGGAGTGTAAGATTATCCCCAAAATGTCACATACGTAACTCTTTGAAGTATTTATTACTTTACATGAGGTATAGACAGTTCTGGGTAAAAGGAGAGTTTCTGGTGTGCACAGAGATGGGCACAAAGATTGGAGAACCCTCGTGACTAGTCAGATTCAACACTCAGCCAGGTTGCTCAGAAACCAAGCTGAATGGTAAAGCAGGGTTTTGAAGGAAAGCAGTAGTTTCCTGGCAAATTGCTTCAGTCTGGATCAGTGGAGTTTAGCTATACTTACCAATGCAGATGAGTCCTGTCCAGGTGTAAACCATGGATGAGGTCATAGCCATGAGGGAAACGTGTTTGGTTGTCATTGATTTTATAAGATCACAAAAGAGATACTGTAAGGCCTGCCTGACATCATCACTGGAAAATGGGAAGAAGGTGAGGGATGAGCTTATCTTTCATTGAAAGGAGAGAACACAGATGAGCTCATCTGAAGTTTTCACAGGAAGAGAGAGACAGAAAATATTTCTCCTTTCCTGGCATGCTTTTCTGCTTTTTGATGAGTTGAATAGCTGACACATACTGTGTCTAATAAAGAGATCACAGAAAAGAAAAAGGAAAATAAAAAGGCAGTTGTCCTTGAAATTCTTCTTTCTCTGCCCCCTCCCCATCATGATTTAGTAGCTGCAATAAAAGATGAGCAGTTTTGTAAGGTTTTATAATGTAAGTCATTTTAAATTGGCATTTCTGAATTTTTTTTAGCCAGCAATTCTGTTAACCAGAGAAGGGCTTTTCTTTACAGATGGCTAGAGAGGGTTTCGTCACCAGTGGCAAAAACAAAGGGAGGTTTTCTCCAGTGCTCTGGATCGGAGGGAAAGGTAGACAAGTTTGGCTATGTTCCAGATGGTGCTCTGGACCACAGGGTATTGGCCATTGACTAATCCAAGCTGCCATCAAGGGATTTTATTATCTGATATAATCCTGAGTAATCAGCATCCTTAAGTTTTGTTCTGTATGCACAGATGTGTAGCCTGCCCACTACAGAGCACTAGTCTTTACAGAACTTAGATAAAATGGGCATGAATTTAGCAGGAGAATCCAACTAACCTGC